GGAGATTCAATTCTCGCAGATGCTCCAGCTCTCCTATTGCTGCTGGTAGTGTCTCAAGCTTGTTATCATTGAGATACAGCCCCCGTAGATTCCTTAGCTTTACTATTACATCTGGTAATGTTTTGATGTTATTTTCATCGAGACTCAGTGTACTTAGATTCTCCAGCTCTTCTAGCTTAGCCGGTAGTGTCTCAAGCTTGTTATTACTGAGATACAGATCGTGTAGTTTCCTTAGCTTTACTATTACATCTGGTAATGTTTTGAGGTTATTTTCATGGAGATACAGTATGCCTAGATCCTCCAGCTCTCCTATTACAGGTGGTAGTGTCTCAAGCTTGTTATTACCAAGATTCAGCATCCCTAGATTCTTTAGCTTTCCTATTACATCTGGTAATGACTCGAGATTATTTTTATAGAGCTCCAGTACATATAGATTCTCCAGCTTTCCTATCACTGTTGGAAATGATTCAAATTGGTTATAACCAAGATCCAGACACCGTAAATTCTTCAATTCTCCTATCTCAGATGGCAATGATTCGAGTTTGTTATGACTGAGATCCAGCCTCTCTAGCCTCACTAGTCTCTTAATATTGCTGCCAATAAATCTAATGTCTTGTCTACATATAGATATTTCAGTCGTATCCACAGGATAATTTCCAAAGCTATAGATTCCACCTGGGTTTGCACCATTGTCCGAGCTCTGAAGTGTAGCTCCCATGAGCACAAGTAGACTCCAGATTGCTTTGTATGTCTTTCTCGTCTGTGCAATATTCATAAGGGGTGTGGCTGAAAATTTTTAAATAGTTGGATTTGACAGTATCAATGATATATCTCCAAGTTAAAAACCACAATGACATGTATACGCTTTAACTACAAGCAGGACTGTAATTACTGCCAATACCACATTGACTGTGCTGGTACGTCTTTGTGAGTGCATGCTACCACTCAAAAATTCAATTTGAAAATAGAATGTTGACGGGTGTCAACATGTCATGCCAAATCATTCCGGTGCAATCATTCCAGACTGGCGTGTGATCTGTTGGACAAATGACACTGGAGTAGTTAGTGCACAACTTGACTACATTCTTTGTGCAATACAGTTGAATGTAGGCATTGGGTGTGCTGTTGATTGTCTAAATGTCCAGTACAGAATACAAGCATATTCCCTGTAGCATGCTGTGGCAGGAGATTGCATGTGAGTATATAGATATATAGTTAAACCATAAAGCCAGTGAAAACATACAGTTAGTTGCATTTATTTAAGCACTAGTCAGAAGAGTGGACCGAGTAAATCACTGCATGGACATGATCAGGCACACGAACAGACTACACATTCATAGATGACTCTTGTCTGTGGTCTCTATCAGACATAGAAATAGTTTGTTCCCTGTACAGATCGTGTATCCACCCAACGGCTGCCATTATCAAGAACATCCTCTGCCTGTCTACACGCTTGCATTAATCAGCTACTGGACTCTTGGCATAGAAGGATCAGTCTGAAGATGAGTCAAAACCGGCACAGTCAGCTGTCTGATTCATTCAAGGAAGCCGCGCAGATGGACTCTATTCAATCTCACACCAGAAACGGATACTGCTCAATGCTATGTACATCAAGCTATCAGGCTGTATGGAAATTAAATAAAACTGCTAACTAAGTAATTTATTTCATTGTCTGTGCAAAGATAAACCACAGTTCTGCAGATGTCCTGGCTCTAGAAGGGACAGCCATCTAGTGCAGGCGTCATTTCTACGCTCCCGTTGACCATGTAGTTGTTCTGCCTCATCCTGTGGAAATTAGAGGGATGGTCGAACAGTAATGAGAATGGTGGGTAGTAGTATGTTAGGGCTTTGTTATTCTTAGTTATTTCTAAAACACCTTGAGATAGATCGGCACATGATTCTGCATATGAGCATGCAAACCTGTCTGCATTAAACTCGCAGATATTTGCAATGAAATTGCCAGCCAGAGTGGCGATGAGGAAAAATAATGAGATCTGAGCGCTCACTGTCACGTAATGCTTTAGTGCAGACTTGTTCTCATCCTTTCCAATCCTCTTCACCAGAAAGCACATTGCTAGGGATGCAATAATGTAGGGTGCAACGAAGATGGATAAAAGATCAAAGTGTCTTGCATGTCCTATCTAGTGCAACAGTATAGCTTTGACTGCTTCAAAGCTGTTGTTCTGGATAGTGCCCTCGCCAATTACAATGCTCATCATGGACTTGAATGGAATAGCATTGCTGGCTGCATTATCGGAATACATACCACCTACAACAAACACCCTTGAAATGTCAACATCGAGATCGGCAAAAAACTTCTCATACTGAGAAATGTCCGTTCTATTCCTTTGGAAGTATTCAGTAATGGGAGTACCTCCCAGAAGATAGGGTGTATAATATGCTCGCAAGAGAGCCACTGCAGCGACGAGACAGTTGCCAAAAATTATAAGACGAGTTGTTGATACCTTTGAGGTGATGAAGGAAACAAGCTTGACAAGGCCGTATGAGATTATAGCGCCAATAGCAACACCACCTATAATGAAAAATAATTTGGTTGCTACAGCATATGTTACTAACAACAATAAACCCAACACTCCCCAGAAAATCCTTTTTCTTTTCGAATATGTATGCGAAACTTTATAGTGATCAGGTATGTACTCAAATGCCACATCCAGGACCCCAAGAGAAAATAACACTATCGGTTGTACTAAAACAGTGCCATACCCAATAGCAATGTACAAGATCATTTCTAACCAATAGTCCACATCTACAAAGCAGAAAGTAGTGGGCGTGGCTGTGTTTACTACTATCTTGGTATTCTCTGGGTAGAACCACCACAACCCAATGCAGTGGTATGCAAGTGCAGATCCAAAAATAATCATCTGCAGAGCTAGGTATTTTGTAAACTCACTGGCCAGTGCTTTCTTGATCACAGCATATGAAGTACTGAGAATGTGCCTGAGTTGTCCAATGAAACTTGCTCGTTTGGCTCGTTTGAGTCTTCCAACAATGCTTACTTGTTTAGCAGTTGCATTCTGTGTACCGAGCTCGATATCAACTAAGAAGCTATCTGTAGTGGCTAAAGTAGACATCTTTTATGAGGTGGAAAAATACAAACAAAATTTATCTAGAAAAAGTAAAAAAATTGATAAAAATTTCAGAAAAATCGGAATTGTTCGGAAATGATTTTCACAAACGATAAACTACACACTTGTACGTATTGACATTAACTATGCATACCACACATTCATTCTAGAGCCCAAAAATGTATAGGAAAGCATCACCAGCAGCCTCCAATGCTTGTATTCTGCTCTTTTCTCAATATTTCCACCAGCTTGCTTGCTGTCTTACGCAGCAGTAGATCCTTGATCTACTTGGGACTCCCCAACTCTAATGACGATGTGTGATTCTATTCATTCCCATCATTCGCTATGAGTTCACTCCGCTCTTGTTCTACCTCCGTACAGTGGTGTCTTTGTGACTCCAGCAAGCTTCAAGTGCTCTCTCCCATAGCCTTACTGTCTTTGGATGCAATCTATATGCTATCTTGGCTTTCTATATGCATCATCCTCATCGTAGCGGAGTACTATCCAAGCACATTACTTGAAGTCCCCTAATTGTCTCAAAAACAATCTTAGCAATGTCTGGTAATAATCCTGGCTTATTACTTCTAAAGTACAAGTACTTTATAGTCTCCAACCCTCATATTTCAGCTGGTAATGATTTTAATTTACTTGCATGAGACCTAACTTCTCTAGCCTCTTAACAAAGCCATAGTGCAAGGAATATACTGATCGTCTTCTATTTCCAGGATATACAAGAGTGTTTGGATTTTGAATGCTGCCTGGTCTTGTGCCACTGTCGGAGCTCTGAAGTGTAGCTTCCATGAGTACAACTAGATTGCAGACTGCTTTGTGTGTATTTCGTCTCTTCTTTGTAGAATATTTATTAGCATGGGTATGAGCTAAAAAATTTTTAAATATTCTAATTTTGACAGGAAATCACAATGACATATCTCCAAGTTTAAAAATCATAAATTGGCATACGTATACGTAAGATTTAACTACAAACAAGACAGTAATTGCTGGAAATAACAATATTAACTGTACTGATAAATCTTTGTGAACAAGTCCTACCACTCAACGATTGTTTTTGAAAAATTTTTGGTATATTGACAGATGTCAAATATGACATACCAAGTGCAATCACTCCAGACTATATTTGTGTGTCGTTGGATAAATAGCACTGAGTGGCATTTAGTCTATGGCTCACTTATGATTCCTTGTGCAATCCAGTTGAATGGGTGTGAATTGTGTATGCTGTTGATTGTCTAAATGTCCAGTACGGAATGCAAGCATATTCCCCTGAGCAACTGTAGTTGGAGATTGCATGTGAGTTATCCATCTCAAACACACATACGCATAGTTAAACCATAGAGTGATAATACATACAGTTAGTTTGCATTTATTTAAGCACTAGTCAAAAGAATGTATCAGACAAGTCATTGCGTGGACATAAATTAGATACCAGAAGCCTGTTCTTGATCATACGACAAGTCCTATATATCATTCATCTATCTATATAATTTAATAGCATGTCTATCCATATACCATTTATATATCCTTCAGCCCATTCATCATTCACCTAATAAATATCTATTATCATATCTAATCTATCTTATATCCATATAACTAATATAATCCATCCAAAATCCCATCTTCTTATGCATCTGGCTAATAATCTATCTAACTTAATATAATCTACTTATTAGTCATATAACTGCCTATTCAATGGGCTCTTCTAGCTTTTTGCTTTCCCAAATATCCTTTCCTGTCAAACTCCTTTGAGTCTTATTTTCATATTTCCTGAACTTTTTCCATTCTAAGAACTGCTCTTCTGTAATTTTTTGAATTTCGTCCATTTCTGCATCAATCTCCCTGGTTTCTTCTTGTATAATTCTTGGTTTGGTCATCTCACATTTGTATATGTAAATGTAAAGATCCCCATCATCAAAAATGTCGTTGTAAGAATATTCTCTGCCGTTGAACGTAACAATGTTGGATCTCTCATCATAATTGCTTTTAAAAATATACTTCAGTGCTACAGACTCTTCCGATATCATTTGTATTTTAGTTTGGGGAGCACAGAAAGAAAAGTACATTCAAAGAATAAACACGCCTCTAATATAAACAAATAAAGCATGGGCGGAAAAATTAAAACGATCGTTGTGGTATGTAATTTTGCTTCTTAGCTTCTTATAAACCAGGTATTAGTATTTAATCAGTAGTATATAACTCATTTATATAACTTGCTTACTGGCAAGCACTTGTATGCAAAGAAAATACTGGTGTGTTTGATATGCCATTTGGACTTGTGTCCATTGATTTATTATTGCTCTTTTCGTTTCCTATCCACATAAAAAATTTACTTCGACCCAAATCCATGGTCAACACAGAAAACACATATGCGCAAGATACACTTGTTCCAGAAGCTGCACAGCTCAATGAAAAGCTGAGAAATGAAGAGCTGACAGAGGCACAACTCAAATATTGTTCTATGATACTTACAAGACTTAAGAGAAATGCCAATGCGGGGCCCTTCTTAAAGCCCGTTGATCCAATAGCATTAGGAATTCCGGATTATCCAGAAAAGATAAAGCACCCTATGGACATTTCAACAGTGAAACATAAGCTTGATACAAAGACATATAAAATACCAGATGAATTCCACAGCGACATGACATTGATGTTTAACAACTGTTACACATATAACCAGCCAGACAGCGTAGTATACAACATGGGCAAGGATCTTCAGAAAGCCTTTGAATCACTATACGCTGATTTGCCTACCGAGATTAAGAAGAGGAAAACAGAGTCGGTTCCACCACTTTCTCCTGTTAAGCCAAAAAGACAAGCAAGAAGTCCGGAGGCTATGAGTCCGGAGGATCATGCATTTTGTGCTGAAGTTTTGTTGGATCTTGAAAAAGCCAAGCACAAAAAGTATAGCTGGCCATTTCTCTATCCAGTGACGGAGCAAGATGCCCCCGGCTATTTTTCTATAATCACTCAGCCAACCGATCTGAGTACGATAAGAAATAAGTTTGATATGAGAAGATACTCTTCGGCTTCTGAATTTGTCACAGATCTAAATTTGATGATTTCCAACTGTTTCAAATTCAATAAACCAGATTCTGAAGTGTACAAGTGCGGAGAGGAATTTAATAAAGTTATTCAAAGCTTGATACACAAAGGAAAGGATGTAGATTCTAGAATAGCAGAAATCAGGCGGAAGATTTCGATTTTGAATCAGGAATTGCGCATGCTTGAGCAACAGCAAACTAACAAGACGAGATACACTCTTTCAGACAGGGAGAAGATAGGGAAAGCCATAATTCATATGACTAAGAAACAGACAGAGAAAGTATCGGAGATAGTCCATAAACATTCAGCATATGATTATGTTGATAATGATGAAATTGAGATTAACTTAGAGACAATGCCGGATTTTGTAGTGGGAGAAATCTACGAGTATGTTCAAAAGGTTCAAAATGGAGAGGATGCGTCTACAGCTTCTGAAGATTAAAAATAATATTGTTGACTTTCCAACTTTATTTAGTATTTTTAGCTTAATATTTATATTTTGATATTTGAACAAGTATGTTACTTACACTATTTGTCATACTTCAAAAGGCTAGTAAGCCTTGGTGTTGAAACTACCTCAAAAAAGTATTGCATTAAAGTAGTACCATTATAAAATAGGGTGCCTTGGGATTTTTAAACACAGATGTTGGACCCATTGCTTTCGCTGCTTTTCAAAATTTTTTCTAACACTCCCATGCGACCCGTCTGCAAGTTTTACATAAATTCAGAATGCACAAATCCAAGATGTAAATTTCTCCATCCAGTAGAATATCCAGTATACATCTATACTCTTCCTGGTATTGATATCCATCCCGATGAGCTTAGACTAGCCGTGATGAGCAATGAAGCCATGACTGCAGAGGCTGATAATATTTGGATAAACAACTACAAAATATTCTGTTCCGAGTCTGGAGAGAAGGAGGTGGACATTTTGCAGTATCCTGACTATTTCTGTATGCCATTTGACACCGAGCGGGTGTGGGGGGAAATTGAAAATTTTAGGAGTCGATTTAAGCAGAGAGGCTCCGAGTATTCACGACCGTATCAATCTCAGTACCAGCCAAAAAGTGGATTTTCACAAGGCTATAATAAAGGATATACTAAGGGATATACTAGTAATTACCAGATGATGCCTCGCCAACCTAACAACCCACCTCCACGTTCGTCCAATTGGGGTGGTGGATTTAACAATAGTAACTATCAAGGTGGTCCACCCATGCACAGCTTTAATAGGCCGTATGATAACAATAATAGATCATATGATAATAGACACGCTTCCTCTTGGAACCAAAATACCAACATCAACAATAATGGTGATAGCTTTGAAAGGAAGTCCAATTTTGAACAAAAACCAACTAATACAGAAGGCAATATGCCCGATTATGAATATCAAAATATTCCATATAACTATAAATAAGCTTAATTTATCAATAAACCAAAGTTAGATCGTTATAATTTAAAGTTATATATCTTCATCTGACTTCCTTATGCTATTATATCCATGGTCCTGATTACAGCAATGTGATTTAATATCCCTTGGCCGCATCGCTTTATATTAGTAATCACCCCTATATTGATTTGTCGTTCTCTGCATACGAATTTATTTACATGAATCTAGTCTCAATCTACTTCATATCAATCTGCATAATATTGATCTGCACAATATCAGTCTATTTGACATCTAAATTACATATTAAATCATATATAACAAATATATTATCATGCTAATATCAATATTAGATTTAAATTTTTTTCCTCTAAAATTTTTATCATTACCAACCCCCATGAAAATACCAGCAACATTCTTGCCACCGCCCACTCCTGTTAAAAAGAAGCTTAGTGTGAGTTCCCACAATATCCCCCATGTTAAAACATGTAAACTTATTGCTGAAGGTTCTTTTTATAAGATTTTCCTAACTGAGAATGGTACGGTCCTACGAGTTTCCAAGAGGGAAATGGTGAATTTTGAAGAGATAAGGATTTTGGAGAATCTCGATCACCCCTTTGTAAATAGAATGGTAAAGTGGTGGATTGAGGACAATACTCTTTATTTTGAGATGGAGCCGTGCGATTTTAATTTGAAGGAGAGAAGTGATAGAATTGAAAAATTTTTCAAGAAGAACAGAAAAAGAGGAGTAGAAAAATATTACTATAACAGATGCTATAAAGAAAAAGTCGATAATGTGAATAATGCATGTAATAATACAAATACTAGTTTGTAAAAAGGATGAAGAAGAGCAATAATGCAAATTGCACATATTCTAGCAAAGCACATTGCCAATCACTCAACAATATGGATAGTACTGTTGTTTTTAACAGTGATACTAATATTAATAGTCTTGACAGCTATGTTAATATCAGTGATCCTTCATTACTTCTCACATCCCCACACAATATCGATAAAACAAACAATGGCGATATTGTTAATAATGATAGCATCGTTCACACTATCGTTGATCCATTCTCTGAAACTCTTGTTCCTTGCTCTACATCTTTAGTTCTATCAGATACTGACAGTACCTCTTCTCAAACTGCAAATAACAGTACAGTAAAGGACAACACCTTGAATGATTTGTCCACTCCATTTTGGATTAAGCTTATGATGCTACAGTTAAGCAACGCACTGGCATGTGTCCATTCTAAGAGAATGATTCATATGGATGTTAAGCCTGAAAATATCCTTGTTAAGATTGTGAAGGAGGATATCATCTTTCAGCTGTGTGACTTTAACATTTTCAGGATAGGAGAAGGTTCCTTTGTCTTAGACGGGGACAAGGTATACATGGCACCAGAAATTTTAAAGAACAGATGCTTCTTTAAGAGTGATGTATACTCCCTTGGATTAGTCTATTTGGAATTGGTGAATGACACAACTTTGCCGACGTCAGGCGAGGAGTATAGGAAGCTACGCAAGAATGATTTTGAAGGATGGAGGATTGATGAGATAGGACGGAGAATGCTAGAGAAGAACCCATCGGTAAGATGCAGTGCAAAGGAAGTGGAAGATTATTTCCACAATTTATTAGCCAATAGCGACAATACTGGATAAGCTTAATGATAGTAGTTTTATTATTAGTGTGATATGATTGTTAAATAAACGTTTTGAATGGGTGTTGACATGTAGTTTTTCACATAATCATTTAAGTTCTTTACGTGTATTGCTATTTATTTTAACTCACCCAAAAAAATATATTTCACTCTAGTCGAATGTTCCTTCCAGAAAACCAAAAAAAGCTAACTAACGTAAGCATTGTAGCTCTAAAGAAATTTGATAGAAAATACGAAATAGCAGTGTATCCAAATAAGCTTTACGAGTATCGTCATAATTGTAAAATTCCCCTCAGTGCAATTCTCCACTCTGAGAATATCTACCGGAATGTCTCGACTGGCGAGGTGTGTTCCGAGTCTGATCTAGCACTATTTTACAGTAGTGAAAGCAGTGATGTTGATCGTGGCAATTCTGATAAGGGGTTTTCCGATAACCGTATAAGAAATAAACATGATATTATCCACTTTATTCTTCAAAATGGCCATGAACAAAAGCACTCCACGACCTATCAACACGAACTGTCAAATATTGAAAGACAGATTGTTGACTTGATTCAATCAAAAGTGCTGTACAATAATTCTTATGTTTCCAAGGAGCATCTTCTTACTTTTATTAGAAAAGTGTGGAATATCAAGAATTCCGATCCTAAAAAGCAGGTTAGTGGGATAATAAAGAAATTAGAGGAAATAGGATTTGAAAGAGTTACTTTCAAAGTGCAAATCATTGACGATGCACAGAATAGAGGGACAAATCTTGATTTTCATGGTTTTGAAAATGTTAAAAAAGTACCTGACGGGTTTATTGTTAAGAGTGATAGTCTACCTGAGTTTATTGAACACTGTGAGTCAATGGGATTGAAATGTATTATTACACGTAATGAAGAAGTCGAGGAAGAGGAAATATGCTAAAAAGTGTATTGTTTGGTTTTGTAAATAATGCCTGAATGTTGTACGTAACCAAAAGGGAGATAACATGCAGAAAAGTCACACTGTTTGAACTACATAAAAATTAAACACATTCCAAGAGATTTATTGTGAAATGATCGTTTTACTTTAATTAAATAATCAATTTTACAGTTAATTGCTATTTTTATTGTCATCTGACAGTTGAATAAGCTTAATTTGAACTTATATTGTTCTTTAACCCTCTCAAAAGTATGGTTGTGAATACTTTTGCCAATAGGCTTTCATCAGACTTTACCCTCTTCAATCTCAACGATCCTAAAACCACTAAATTTTACATAGCCAATATGGACTACCTCATCAATAATTTCCCATATTTCAATGATATTCAAATAGTTTCTTCATACTTTCTTTCTCGAAACAAAAAATTCAATTCGAAGTTTCAAACCAGGATAACAAAATTCATAGAAATAGTAGAATATGACTCAAAGCTGAAGGACAGTGAGTGGTGCAAGATGAGGACACCAGAAATTGTGGAAGGAAGCTCCTCAAGTAAGGAGGAGGTTAAAGAACTGTATCCATCAAGTGAAGATGAGACAGAGATTGTTCAACTCGAAAAATTTACAGTAGAAGGATTTGAGGATGAATTGAGCAGTAATGAAAGTGGGAATAACAACAATAGTGTATCTGTTGATAATCACAATGTTTTTTCATCAAGTGATATTAAAAATAACGGTAATGTTCAAAATACTAATAATATAACTGATGAGGAATCTATTGAAATGGTAATTTCAAAGCTATCACTGGAAGGACAGTCTTTGAGTGATCATAAAAGACCTTCGTCTTTAATTAACATCAAGAATATTCCACATTTCCCTAACCATTTTCCACAGGGCCCTGAATTTATAGTTAATCCAACAGGGCTTGTTATGAAGTTTTACTCTAAAATTCTAGGCTCTTTTATTGGGAAATTTGTTGTTACCCCACAGTTTATTTCAAAGCTTATTAAGAAAATTCATTATGAAGAAATAGGCTCTCTCCTCTGCACCCTGGTAAAGCAGAGCTCTGCCTTGGACACCTTAGTGACCAGTGGATGTCTGAAGCAAATATGCTTCAGCAATCTTCCTGTACTTGAAATGATCTTGGACTCTTCCCTTTATCAGAATGTTACGGAACAAAGCTCTGAAGATAGACTGTTAGACCAGGTGTATGAGCAAAAGGATTATCTCATCAGGCGATTTTTCTTAGAGGGAGAAAAGACAGGCGTGCTCATAAAATATTTGAATGAAAATGAATTTGATCATAAAACCGTTGAAAGTTTGGATATTAAAAATGAAAGTGATAACGGTAATAAGTCAAAATCTATTGTTTTCCCCACAATCTTCAATATTCTTCTTATCATCTGCTCAAATAAATCAAATGTAGCCATTCCAGAAATTGAACTGCCATTCCTTAATAGATTCACCCTTCTTTACCTTCGCATTCTCAGCTTTAACACTTCTTTTTCTACTCAAATGATTTCAAAACTCTCAAACATCTATTTTGAAAATCCAAATTGTTCTCACTCTCTTTTTTCCACTTCAAGAATCTTATTAAAGACTGATCCCGACATGCTCGCAAGGATAGAATTCTTTGAAAGAATGAAAGAGTCTATTTTTATCTACACTTCTCAATACTCAGTTGGAAATAGTGTGGATAGTCTTCTGGCATTTCTTATAAAAGCATACTCTAAGTTCAAGTCCTATCTTTTAAAATTAAGTAATAGTTCTAATCAATATTCTTTAAAACAGTCTTGGAAAGCTGCTCATGCTTTCTTTGACTTTTTTATTAAACAGGAGAAATTTGGATACAAAATACAGGACTTAAAACTGTCTGAAAATGCACCATCCTTCGAAAGATACGTTATTGATTGTTTTTTGAGTGATTTGCCATACTCAACTGTTTTTCAAATGGAACATCAACCTGATTTAAAAAAGAACAATTTGTAAAAAAATATCAAATAATTTTGTGATGGAAATTTGAGAGCATATTAAATAGTATAATAATAGTATATTTTACATCTCGTAGTTTATTGGTTTTGTAGAAAACTAAATAAAGAAAAGCACACTATTTATTTGAGTGAATCAAATACTTCTTTAACCTCCTCACTGCTATAAACATTAAACATCTTCGTCTTTGCATCAAAAACTCCTATGCTGACATCCAAATAGTCTATCTCCCTTCAAACTCCTTCAATACATTCACACCATTCACAATGTTGTCGTCAAGATTTTCTCTCCTCTTTTCTAAAAATTTTATTGCTTCTTCATAGTTCTTTCCTGCCGTAACTAACTCAACTTGCTTAAAACTACCTGATGGGTCCATCTGATAACAGCATGGACCATTTTTTGTCTCTCCACAGAAAATCAGGAATGTTCCAAATGGACGTAATCCACCCTTTTGACTGAATTCTTGCACACTCAGACAAAATTCATTTATAAAGACATCTAAGTATGGAAATCTCCAGTATACATCAAAATAATCTTGGCATATGCGTTGTGCTACGACTAGCTGCGCTCTGAAATCTGGTTGGAGGCCAGAATACGTCACTCCTATCGATGGGCATACTTGGAATACTTTGTGATAATTCTTCTTGTCCACCAAAGAACTAAGACTCTTACAACTCATAATCACAGCACCATCATTAGAAGAACACCCCAGACTAAGTGCACTATTCAATGCAGCTTTCAATGCATTGTCACACTGTGTAAGTTTTCCTTTACTTGAGAACAGGTTTAGTGACTTTTCCGGATCAAGGAACATTTACTTCGTATGGGCTTAGCAAGAATTATAAAAATATTTGAAAACAATAAAAAGTGAGTTTCTTTAACTATGAATATTTAATAAATGTATTGCCATCAAGAATGCCCTATTATCAATACATTAATGATAAAATAATAACAAACAATGAAAAGATAAAGTATGACTCAATGAAAACTATTAAAAATAAGTTATTATCATCAGATTGCTTGATTTATTTAAAGCGCCCTGGAAATCTTGTTTAAATAAGATTCAACACTTCCCTTGTTCTTTATGATACTAACAGTAGATCCTGAAACTAAACAAATCTTCTTCTCGGCTTTAAGCTTTTCAAATTCCTCTTTTGTAATTCCAGTAAATCCAAAAATCTGAGAAACTTGAATTTGTTGCTGACCTGGCAACTTATTCTTGGCTCTTCTCAATGCTTCTTTAGCATCCTTTATAAAGTTCTCCTTGGTTCTGACTGAAAGAATGTGCCGCCCAACAAATACTCTGGCGGCTCTTCCGTATGCTTTACCAAAGCTTCCTCTCATACCAGTTTGAAGTCTATCAGCTCCTGCACATGTCAACATTTTATTAATTCTAAGAATATGAATGGGCTGACAGCAGACTCTAAGGTGGTAATTGTCTTTTCCTATAGTTTTTATCATATACTTATTGGCTGCAATACGAGCTGCTTCAAGTGCTTCTGAGCTAATGTTTTCCTTTTCTGCTGAGACGAGGTTGATTCTGGCAGGAAATGCCTCGACATGTGCCTTTCTGTTTCCCAGGTCATGAATTGCTATCTTACTCTCTGGTACACCCCTACAGAATCTTGATTTAACGTAAGCCTTCTTACTTATTAATCTGTAGCACTTAGCTGGTCTTCTACCCATCAAGGGTAAAATTTTTAGAAAAATTTTTTGTAGTTTGAGCATCAAAAGAGAGAAAGTGTTTGGCTTATAATTGGATTGAAAAAGACAGTCAATTTGACTAAAAAATACATTTTTATTCAATGAAATATTTTTATTTACACTAAACTTTACTAATGACTGTTAAAGTGAGATCAATGTTTTTGGTCATTAAATAAAATGTATAATATAGTAGTAAGATCAACTAAATGGTATAAAATTATTCAAAACTAACAATATTTTCCCGCTTATCTCCTTCGAATTTGTTTTTCTTTTAGCTTGATCACTGTGTAATCATCACTTTCTATTAGTTCATATTTTGTGGATACTTCATCCTTGTTTGTTGGATCGCATGGTGTTTTGTAAATGCATATGCCATTTGGAAAGCAGAATAAGGTATTTCCGTTCATATCTTTCTTTACTAAATATCTTTCCAGTCCTTTCTCAATGTTAAAATACTTTTCCGCTCTTTTTTGTAGTTCGAGATTGCCGTCTTCTGGTATTTGATGTTTCATGGCTTAGAATTTGAACATTCTTTTAACCAATTATTATACACTTACTAATGTGCTTGTGTTTTTTTGTTTTATTAAAACATCTAACGCACTTTTCTTTCATTTCTTGCACTTTCATTTATAGATTTATAGTGATAGAATCTTATATACCCAGAAAAGTTGAAATGGAAGCCTTCGAAAATCTTTTATTGATTCTGGATAAAATAGAGGCTGAATTGGATCAACAACCAGTCTATGTGATGGATAAACTAAAGCATGAATCCGAAAAAATGTACGTTTTTAACGCACTTGGCATTTGCCTTGGAAAATTGAATAATGGCTGTGATAAAAAATACAAAGAAGGACTTTTAAGACAAAAGCGTATTTTCAGAAGATTAAGAGTCTACAATTTTAACTTTGCCATTTACTTTACAACTTTATTGAATTGTGAATGTCTATTCTGATTTATACCCTTTTATGTTTTGAGTTTTTGCATTTTATACATTTGAATCCACATTACGTCATCTGAAAATGATGTGTTCTGTTTGTGTTTGTTAATTGTTTTTTTAATTTTTTCATTTGTCTACCCCGATGGAGAAAGTAACTAACAGCCTCGTGGAAACTATTGTAAACGAACAGAAAATTAAACTTTACAATACTCAAAATAGCTCAAATGTTCAGATAAATGTTGAATTAAACTCATATTTAAATTGCAATGAAACAAATGATGATCGGTTGAGCAAAATCAAAAAAAGAATGATATTCATGACAAAAGTAATATTGTTTATAATATGCTGTTATGCTGTTACTCCTTACTCGAACAATCCAAAACAAAGAGAATATAAGCACACTTATTCTGATCTCAAATTTTTATATTTTACGAATCAATCCCTGTACTTCACCGTTCTAACCGTGGCTGTTGGCTTCATATACAGACTCAAGCCTAGATTGTTTGAATTTTACAACACACTCCTTCCAGTTGCACTTACTTTCGAAATTGTTGTCACGGGGGTGTTTTGGAGTCTTTATTTCGTTGATAAAAAATTAATTGTAAATACTAACTTTCTCAAACCGGGGTATGAAACACCCATATTGACAGAGCTAGGACTGCATCTTTTTCCGTTGATTTTATTGATTTTAGACCAGGTTGATGTTAAGCTGAGACAAACTAGATTGCAATCTTGGTTCATGACGTGCTATCTAGCATTA